GCCCCTAAAATATTGACTTAGAGTAAATACCAATGATACTTTATGTATCTTAAATTAATAGTAACAGGCAATGACTACATAAAGTTACTCTTAATTTTTATGATTGCATTTAAGTTACATTTCTAGTGAGATGTTTATAAACTCCTTGCCTTTCTACAGATGAGAGGTACTTCCAATTCAATATATACTGTCTTTCTAATTCTGTGACTACCTAATTGCTAACTCTTCCCATCAGTGACACAATAAGAAATATATATTTGGCCTCTGCCCAGGTTCCTGATACAGAGTTTCTAAAACCCTTGTAATTTCCTGAGTGCTAGAGGTGCTAGGAGCATCTTTTCTTTTAATATTTGGTCTTTCGCCCTGGTTTCTGACATAAGAACTTCTAAGACCCTTGGAATCCCTGGAATGATGAGTGTCTTTTGTATACTAATCAGATGACTGGTGGCTAGGGGCCCCTAGACAGCTTCAGGACCTGAGCTGGTTCCAGAAAGACTAAGGCATGATTAGAGGGTTGGAACTCTCAGGCCCACTCCTCAACCTCCAAAGTGGGGAGGGGAGCCAGAGATTGAGTTAATAATCCGTCATGCCTACATGATAAAGCCTCCATAAAAATCCCTTAACTAGGGGTTCAGAGAGCTTCTGGGTTGGTGAACACATCCATGTGTCGGGAGGATGGTGCACCCCAATTTCACAGGGACAGAAGCTCCTGCACTCAGGACCCTTCTGGATCTTGCCCTGTGTACCTCTTCATCTGGCTGTTCATCTGTACTCTTTATTAAACCCTTTATAATAAACTGGTAATTTATAAGTGTTTCGCTGAGTTCTGTGAACCATTATAGCAAATTATCAAACCTGAGGAGGAGGTTTTGGGAAGCCCTGGACTTACAGCTGGTTGGTCTGAAGTACAGGTGGCAACCTAGGACTTGCAATTAGTGTCTTACGTGCAGGCAGTCTTGTGGGACTGAAAGTTGTGCAGACCCCACCAACTCCAGGTAGTTAGTGTCAGAACTGCTTAATGTGAGGGAAAATTTCAAACGTTTGGTGTCAGAAGTGTTTTGAGTAAAGGAGACAAGTTTTCTTGTACCATCTCTCTCAGTTCTTGCAACTTCTAGCCTCCTCAGATATCAACATATAGTTCCAAAATTGAGGCTCACGTCTCTTCATCCTCCCTTTGTTCTCCCAGAGCTTCACTGTGCAAGTCTCTCCTCCTCTCCTGCCACTTGCTTTACTGCCTAATCTATCCTTCTCCCAAATTTCTCTCTTTTTCTAATAATATCCAAAGGGATAAATTCAAAATTCCTGCACACTGGAACAAATTCTCACAAGCACTGAAAAGTAGTACATACAGAAAATGGTGAAATATTTTGAAATGGGCCAAAAAGTTACTAGGTGCCTGTCTAGAAGCTCTCCTGGGTTATTTGTGCTTTTCATTGTCTTGAGCTATTTTACAAATCTGTAAATTGTAGAAAACTAATCAGAATGAAAAAAGTGATTCTTATCCATAGAAATTCAAATTGTCTGTGGAATGCAACTGTCTAGTCTTAAATCTATTTGTAAATTAATTTCAGCATTGCTTATATACATGTGGTTTTTCAAATTCTCCTTTGAACCGGTTATTACATCTTACTGACTTCCTCATTTATTAATGATCAAATAATCTTCAACGCACATTCATTTAATATTTGTATGAAGATAAGGATTTCACCTTTTCAAAAATTATCCTTTTACAGAACACTGAAGTTAACTTATGTACTCAAGAAATTCCAGCCAGGGAAACTCAGGGCTGAGGAAGGATTACCTCATCCTAAGTGGTCCCATAGGAGGATCTTCAGTAAGAGTTCAAGGCTAAGAAGGATTTGTCTTCCCCAGGATGTGTATGATGAGAATCATGTTACAGATCATGTTTCACCTTTCACCCAGGATTTCAGGAAGCTAAGCACCAAATTTGAATTTCCATGGCGGCCATTTTAGATTAGCCTTCATGATAGACAATTTTCTTCTTGTCTGTGGTTCCAATTTTCCGTTTTTATGATTTTGGTATAAATACGCAAGCTGACCTAAATCCTTTGCGCAAAGAAGTGAAGTATAATCTCCATATAATTACATAATATTTAATTTTAATTCTTTAATAAACCTATTTACTTAAAAATGTTATATTTACTGAGTTACTTTCAAAAAGTCCCTTTTTCTTTAAAGACCCAATTCAGGAATCCTGATCAAGTGTGATTGTAGCTGAAATGCTGAACTAGACCAACAAGTTACTTGTACACATCCAGAAAAGGATCACTCCTGATTTCATGCCCCTCAACTCTATCTACCAAGCCAAGAAGAAAGGTGGGTGATGGAGGTTTAAGAGGGGGGAGTCAGAGGGATGATATTTAAATAGAGGTAGTACATACCCACATGAATTCATTGATTATTACTATAAATCTGTGGAAGAGGGAGGGCAGGTACTATAACCATTTTTTAAAATTGTGGTACAAAACATAACCTTTACCATGTTAACGTTTTGTTTTGTTTTCCTGAGGAAGATTTGCCCTGAGCTAACATCTGTGCCAATCTTCCTCTATTTTGTACATGGGTCGCCACCACAACATGGCCACCAACAAGGGGTGTAGGTCTGCGCCTGGGAACCAAACCCAGGCTGTCAAGGTGAAGTGCACCAAACTTAACCACTAGGCTACAGGGTGGGCCCCCCATGTTAACCATTTTTAAGTGTACAGTTCAGTAGTGTTGAGTGTATTCACATTGTAGTACAACAGATCTCCAGAACTTTTTCATCTTGCAAATCTGAAACTCTGTACCTGGTAAACAACAACTCCCCATTCTCCCCTCTGCACAGCCCCTAGTAACCACCATTCTACTCTATGTCTCTATCAATTTGAGTACTTTAGATACGTCATATAAGTGGAATCATACAATATTTGTCTTTTTGTGACTAGCTTATTTCACTTAGCATAATGTGCTAAAGGTTCACCCATGTTGTAGCATGTGTCAAAATTTCCTTCCTTTTTAAAGCTGAATAATATTCCACTGTACGTATATACCACAATTTGTTTATCTATTCATCCATCAGTGAACACTTATGTTGCTTCCACCTCTTGGCTATTGTGAATGCTGCAATGAACACGGGTGTGGAAATATCTCTTCAAGTCCTGCTTTCAATTCTTCTGGATATATATAGAACTGAAATTCCTGGATCATATAGTAATTCTATTTTTAATTTTTTTTTGAGGAAGATTAGCCCTGAGCTAACATCTGTTGCCAATCCTCCTCTTTTTTGCTGAGGAAGATTGGCCCTGGGCTAACATCAGTGCCCATCTTCCTCTACTTTATATGGGATGTGGCCACAGCATGGCTTGATAAGTGGTGCGTAGGTCTGCACCCGGGATCCAAACCTGCAAACCCCGGGCCACCAAAGCAGAGCGCACAAACTTACCTGCTATGCCATGTGCTGACCCCCTCTATTTTTAATTTTTTGAGGAACTAAACCATTTTTACAATGAGAAAATCAGGGAAGTAATTGTACCCCAAACTCACAAAGCAAACAAATCACCAGTTCCATACCCCTGCACCCTGGTCCTGAGCACCGTGCTCCTTCTCCCACCCTACACCACCTCTCTTCTACCTCAAGGCACCATTAAAGTCTGTTCCAGAATTAACTAAACAAATACTGCAACTATAAACAGAACGAATTCTCAGAACTAAATGTGGGGTAGTTTAGAATTATCATCTTACCTGTTATGTTGAAGTTAATCACTGTTTCCTTCAAAAGTATTACTGAGTCCCACAGAGCACTCTTGGAAAACAATAAGTGAAATTCATGAGCACATAACATATACTTGCAAATGAACAATCTCTAAGTGCTTAGGTTTAAACAGGAATCAAACATGATTACCTCAGTATTGTCTATATAAAAAGTTACACTGTGACTTCCTAGGTTGAAATCAATCCAAAATTTCTCTAATTTTTCATCTGCTGGTTTTCTCATCTGTAAGATATAATTTCAGCATAAATTATACACATAAATATCATGTTAAAGCATCAGATGAAAATTATTCCACTAAAAACAGAACTTCTGCTTTTCCCAGAACAACACTACCCTAATGTTATAGGGTTGCTCTGTATTACCTTATTCATTTCTGCAAAACAGGGAGGTCTCACTTTTATTTAACTAAGCTACTTCTGGAAAAAAAAAAAAAAAACCCTCACTATCCTTAGCTATTTAACAGATGTTTAAATGTGTCAGATGACTCTCCCTACACAAACTTCTTTTTTCCTGGTGAGAATCGCAGAGAAAACAGTTCTATGTTAAAGCAATAACAATCTACACTGCATACGGATACCTCTAGTGAAGGAGGTATTATGATCAACTATAAATGGTGATTTGCCATTTAACTTATTATCTGTTAGAACAGAGATAAGACTTGAAGATTTCAAATTACTTTCAGTTTAATTGATTATTATAAATGAATATATGGTTATAGTTTAAAAAAAAGAGAAATATTCAAATAGTATGGCGTTTATAAAAACAGTAAACATCTCTTTCTCTGCCTCCCAACTTCCCACGGGTATCTTTCCATAGGCACCATCAATAATGCCTTTGTTTCCTTCTAGACACGTTCTAGACATATATTAGGAAGTATATATAGAGTTTTTATTCCTCAACAATGGAGCAAACACTAGACTTACTATTCTACCACCTGCTTTTCCAATAAATAGTATTTCATGGACATATTTCCATCATACATGCCTACTTTTTAATAGATATAGTGTTGAATGAAGGTTTTAACCCACAATGTATGTCACTGGAAGCCAGTGTAAGGGCCGTGATTGAAGCTGATAGAAATTTAGAAGTCCTAGAAAGAAGAACCCAGCAGTGACTGGACCCCTCAGACAATCAGAAGGAAAAACAGACAGAACTGAGATACAGGAATCAAGCCACCAAAATCAGTTCTAGAGAGAAGGAACTTGTAGTGTAGTCATGAGTTGAAGGCTCAGCTCACAGATGCCAAGAAGGGGGGTTCAGAGACCTTCGAAGATTTTTACCCAAAAGTTGAGATGCTATAAATTGGGGCACTTTTACAGGAAGGACTTTGTTCCTCTAGAAACCAAAGAAGGGGGTGAAAAGAGGTGGCTCAATTTGGGACTATAAAGTACAAGGCAGAATGATCTAGAGAAAGGAAGGTGGTCCCAATTGCTGGGGATAGAGTGGGAATCATCAACTATACGGAAAGAAGCATAATCACCCTTTTCCCTCCTATCCAGGTATGAATAATGTTAACCATTAATAGAGTAAAATAAAGCTAGGTTTCTGTAATTCATGAACACAGTATAAATCTTACAATTCCTTTATCTAGTAGCAACAGTAGGACCCCTCAACTTACTGGTAATGCATCTCAGTTATGGTATGAGAGAAGGCAGGGGAAAGGGACGATAAGCTTCAGAGTTGAAGCCTCCAGGAGAAGTCGGCTTCCTTTTTAAAAAAGCCCTTCTAAGTAGAAAGAGCAGTTTGTCCTAAGTAAACCTAACTATGGGTTTCATTACAGACCACCCTCACAGCTCCCAAGAGAGACAAACATACCTCATTCTCATCAGCAAAAGCAGCAATACATGGAAATGAATAGACCCTGCAAAACACCTCACAATTAAAAAGTGAAATAAAATATGGATGGACCCCAAACACAACCTATAGATATTCTACAAACAAGCGTGCATAACTAGGGTATTACGTCTCTTTGTACAAAGTATGGAAGGGGATCTCAAACTTGTGAATGGAGATCTACTATAACTAGATCTCAAATCTCCATCTGGCAGTCTACAAGCCAGGTGTACTGGTACTATATCTCAACCCAGTTGCTTGGCAAGATTCTCAATGAAGAGAATGAATTTAGCACATATTTTCTCATCAAGGACTTAACTGTCCACAATACACCTATCCCTAGGTGTATAGGAAATCACTCTTCATAAAATCTCCCCAGAGGATGTAATGTTAAAAATATTCCAAATCATAAACAAATATGGTAAAAGTCTGATAGAGATCATTTTTAAACACACACAAATGAATAACTGGGCAGAATGTGTCTAATCTTCTGAGATTTCTACTCAATGAATAACTCAGTAGTGCTCAGTAAATTATGTATCCTATATTCTCTCCTAAAATAAACTAAAATATCCTATATATGTGTATTTTTAATATTAGACATTTTCAGAATACAATTAGCCAATAAAATAATGCTCAGAGAAATATCTTACCTTCTTTGGTCGCCAAGTCTGTTGTTTAGGTGATTGAGGAACAGTCTAGTGTCCTTCAAAGTAAATAATGCAAACTTTTTAATAAAAAATCAAAATGTCTTAGTTAAATACTACTCTTACCAGCATGTAGAGGCCAGCGATTACTTCTAAATTTCCAGGATCCAGTAACATCTCAAGGTTTCACAAGGATTCATTATTATATGTTAACTAAAACAGTACTTTGTATCACAAAGAGGAAGGTCCAGACATATGTTCCAGCAGGAATTCCCCAGCCAGGAGATTTTCAGCTGAGAAATGCTTAAGTCTCCAAAAGTGATACATAAAATTATGTCTCACTGGGTGAGAAGAGTAAGCAAGAGAAATACATACTGATGACCTAGATTACAATATTTGACTAGCCCACTGAGCATCCATCTCCCTAACATCTGCCCAGCACAAGGCAACCATAAACTCATTAAACTTATCAACTTTGGGTTTATCTGGCCATATTATCCACTGCCAATTTTCCTTATGTGTAATTCTCTATTCTACTCCTTCCTGGGTTCTCTCCCCCCATCTATGTCCTAAGAATAAAGAATATGTTTAGAGTTCTCCTAACCAACAGCTATTAGGAAAGTAAATTTGTTGCCTCCAAACTTCTAAAGCCAAAGAGACACTGATGGCTCTTTGTCAGCAAGGACTGATTACTGTAGTCAGTCCTCACACTCCGTGTCTATCTTCAGCACTAAATGGACACGAGTAAATGTAAGCCTTCATCTAAAGCAGTTCAGTTAAGAAGCTGATGGCTCTAGGGTGGAGGGGATGATTTGAAAAACAAGATAATTACTTTTGTCCTATTTTCATCAAATTTCCCTGCAAGTGAGGAAATGACACAGGAGAAAGGAAATTAACATCTGAGTGTCCATAACATTCCAGGTACTTTCAGTTTCTCTCATTTAATTCTCCAAATTTTGAGGAGGGTTTTATTCTCATTTTACAGAGGAAAACACTAGACCTTCATAATTCAACTACCCTACCAAAATGCACACAATACGTAAGTCAGGGAGGTGAGACTCAAACTCAGGTCTCATGGTCTTTCCATTTAGATCAAACCGAATCCTGGCTATTGCAGATCTAGCAATGGACTCAAAGTCAAATATAATATATTTGGCAATATATTTAAAGGTCTGGATTTAATAAAATCCTAATTGCACAGCAGTTTTGACCAGAAAGTCTTTGTTCAACATGAGCACTGTTGTGAAAGATTTTACCTTTTCCTAAGTGTCTAACCTTCATTTTAAGAACTTTTTAAAAGAAGAGGAAAAACATTTTAGCTATTTTAGGAGGAAGGTGGGTACGCAACAAAGCCATAGCTATTTTTGTGCTACTTTTAGACACAATCACAGTGAGCCCAGGTTGCATGGGAGACACTGAAAATTACTGTTCCTCCAAATAGTAGAGGTTGGATGGCTCACAACACAACCACCCCATAATACTTCTCTGCCACTAGAGTACACCATCCCATCATCTCCCCAGCCGCTCTCTGCAAGGCTGTAACACATTTTCCTTTCTCCTCCAACTCTCCCTACCCTTTAAGGTTTGTTGAAAATAGCTACCCCTTCCATGACATTTTCTCTGACTGGATCCATCAAATTCACATATAGGTAACTTCTAAGTTACCTATAAAGAAGTCCTATCTGTATCCCTATATTTGACCCACAAATATTCTGTTCGTACTGTCCTCAGATTGTTTCACATAAGTGGGAAGCAGGGATTTTAAGAATGGCAACTTAATCACATTTAAGAAAAAAAATCCTCTCTTGAACATAGCAAAGCACTGAGAGGACGCTTAGGAAGCATTAATTAAATGGAATTTTGATGACCAGGAATCGCACCGTCTCAAATTCTCGATCCTTAACTTCTTTGAAAGCTTCAGCAATGACATCATCTTCAAACCACTGATGGACAAGGTCAACCCTTGATTTTCTCGTTGTCAGTCTACACAATGCTTCAGAAAGAGTAACCTGCTGGTCATAATCTAGAGATTAAAAACAAGGTAGACGTGGATAATTCTGGGCACAAAGCAAAAGAAAAAATGACTTACAAAGATTAGCACTTATTCTAAGAAATTCCATCTTAGAAGACTAGTATTGTGTCTTATAAACAGCAAGATGTATCCTGGAGTAATTATAATCATTTAAATTCAATATTCAAGGAATATTAGGAGAAAATCTAAACAACAGGTCAGCATATAACCATTTTTTAAAAAATAAATGACATTTCTGCAATTTATATTTTAGGTATATTAAAACATTCATCAAAAGCAGTTCATCAAACAGCCTTAAAAAAAATACTTCTCCTGTGAAGATTAAATCCCAAGATAAATTGTGGTATTTCACAGCAGATAAACAAAAACTGCATATATCAATGTGTTTAAATGTCAAATAATTTTAAGGGTAAAAAGCAAGTTGCAGCCAGATATGTACACTAGGATGAGATAGATAGAATTCTTTTAAAATCTGCAAAACAATAATGTATGTTGCTTATGAATACATTAAAAAAAAAAGTAGAAAAATATACTTAGGAATGAAAAACAAACCCAAGTCAAGGATTAACTCTACCATTGGAGTGGGGCATGGGGTCAGGGTCGTGGACACAGGGGGCTTTACCTGTAACTCTGATTTATTTTTCAAAAGATTTAAAGCAAATGTGGCAAAATGATGAAATTTGACAAAGCTGGTTGGTGAGCAAATGAATATTCATTAATTATTCTGCATGGTTTCCACCATGCTAAAATTTCCCATAATAAATTAAAAATAAAATCCTAATTCCTAGTTTCAATTCGGCCATAATTAGTTCCCCATAATTCCAAGATGCTCATAAAAACCCCCATGTCCAATATTTAATATTCTAACACTTAAAATTTTAAACACTTCTTACCACCCACAGTCAAGATTGTCCTTGCAAGGTCTTTCCTGAAACATTTAGATAAATTACATTTTACTGAAATGAACATAAATAGGCAAAACTTTACTATATTGACATGAACATTTAAAACCAAGTTGTGTATTTCTGAAATTACTTATTTTAAATTCGGCATCAGAATTTCCTCCACGTCAAGAATAAACTTTAATGGAAAAATTTTCTCAAGTTTACATATTAATGACTTAAGTGTACTTTTTTAAAAGAAGCTAGAGCTACCATACATTCTGAGATTCTATTTCTCCTTCTGTAAAGTGAATTCAATTTGATGACCTTTGAGGATTTATCAAATGCTAATATTCTGGATTTTTATAATCACCACACCAGCCTATGAGGTTGTGTGTCCTTTTTTTTACACAGTTTGATATCCGGAAGAAATGATACCAATGGATGCTATGGGTCTTTTCTACAAGCTTTTTGAACTGATTTCAGAAACTGATTAAGTTACAGATGTAATGAGATTAAGTTATCACATTATTGTAACTAACACAGACTCCTTTATTGTATATTCATTTAACAATTTCAATTAAATACAAACAAGTGTGATGTTGATTTTTTTTTAACGTCTGTAGTAACTCCCATTTTAAAGAACAGATTTGTTAAGAAATCTTGTAGTAGCTCAGTTTCTTGTAATAAATGGATTGATTTGTTAGTATTAAATAGAAGCCTTAGAACATTACCACTGAGAATTTTGCTTAATTTTATGCTTGCAGATTTAACATTTGATTTGAAGTCCAGAATATTCCAGAACTTTCTAGAATACACAACGATAAGATAGGACCAAAAAATTACTTTGAAATTTAGGAGAAAACACCAGGTCTGCTGCTTTCTAAGTCTAAATACACCACTATGAGTGATGACTTCACTAACGTGTTCAATAAATACTTTTTAGGAAAAATTCAGTGGAAAAACTGCATCCTGCAAAGACTAGTTCAATGGACAAACATGATAGCAATAAGCTCCACGCTCACCGATCACCTCTTTCAGGCCTATGCTATGGTAAACTTGGTCCTCCTTTCTCTCATCAGTCATGGCAGCATGTCACATGGATGATGGTGTGCCATGATGATGTCATCGATGCTGGTTAGTGGTTAGCACATAGTCACATATTTAGGTTCAAATTTCAAAACAGGGTGCTGGTTTTGCTCTTTCCGTGGCTGTCACCCACCAGGTGCCTTGAGAAACTCAAAGGTGGGTTTGGAAGCAATTAACTGTTTTTCCAAGTTGTTTCTTTTCCTTTTGTATGTTAAGGAGATGTAACCACCAGCCATCCTGAAACTGACCAAGCCTCACCATAAGAGCTATGCCCATGTCCGTTGCCTTATTTTTAATGCAAAGATCTCTCCAGGAGGATCTTAGGCCTTATTATGTGGAAGCATGTTTTCCAACTGAGCCCGCACAAGCGAATACCCGCCTCTCCCTTTTGACTATTCATTCCCCAACCAAATAAAAGTTCCTGCTTCCCTTTGTTCGGGGACCCCGTGGCTTTGGAAATGATTCCTCATGGCCTCCTATTTGCTGCAAATACACTTTACTTTGTGAGACAACTTCCACTGGTGTAGAGTCTTATTTAACTCACCAGGAGGCGAGCCCACTCCTCGCCTGTGTGGTTACTGTGTGTTCAGTAACACGGTCACACATTACAACCTTACCTCCAAATTTCATTGTCCCAAGAACTACATAGTTATGACTGTAGTCACCAAAATGCAAAAAATCCATCACTTCAAAAGCAATACAAATTCCACGCTCTATTGGTATAGCTAATAGTTGGTAACCTTTGAGAATTTGCTCGCTACCAGGTAATGTGTTCATCACTTTCAACAGATTGCTTGATGTAACCTGTATAATAACTCTATGAATCAGGTATTATTATTGTTGGCTCCATTTCACAGGTGAGCAATCTGAGGTAGGTACGGTGAGTTAAGACTGTGCTCTAAATGATACAACTAGCATAAGTGGCAACACCAGGATTTGAAGCCAAGCACTCTGGCTCCAGGGTCTGTACTCTTAACATTCTCCCATTAGTTACTAATTTAGTTCACATTCCTAATGAAAAAGTAATCTATAGCCTAAGAAAGCATTCCACCTCACAAATGTGATGGGAAAAAACCCCAAAACCCCACATTACTAAAAAATAAGAGCTGAGCAGTCTAGCTTTTTTCCTCAGTCCTTCTTCACTGCTTAGCATAGAGCCCGATTCATAGTAGGTGCACAAAGCATTTATTGGAGGAGGGAATGAAGCAATCAGGCCTAAGGAGAACAAAGGTTGAAGACATACAATCCAGAGAGATTTTGCCCTTACATCACCACATAATCAAGTACAAGGTCACTTACATAAGACGACACGGGCCTTCTGACAAGGAGAGTTGTTTTCTCTCTTCCCGAGGTACAGCCTGCAGAATGCAGTTCATAGTCTTCAAAGCCTGTTTGGAGTCAGAGAAGGCATTCACAGGGAAGAAACAAAACGGAGACCTATGCACAACCTTCTCCAAGGTTCTAGAGCGACTGTTATCTGTTTTGTTATTTGCAACTTACCTCCCTTTGAATCAAATGATTTACAGTCTTTTCCGTCACCAGAAATCCTAAGGTAAATATGAAGGAACCCAACATCTGAATTTTCCCTGCAAGCATAATTTTAAAAGAATTAAATTGATGCTCAAAAGAATAAGGAAAAGACTCCTACACTACAGGAAGGGGCAAAGACTGAAAAAACCATGAATGCAGTAAATGTTTCAGAAATTATATAGTCTGGGCAAGGGACAAATGAAAGCCTGCTTCAAGTTATAGATACCTCAGGCCGCATAGACTTGCACCGCATAGACACCCACGGGAGAAAATAACAGCAGCATATGCAAAGTGTGACTGTATGTGATGATCACATTTCAAGCAAAGCTATTTTTTGTCCAGACTGAGCAATGTGCAAAGGACAGCTCCTGCACAGTTTCCTACTGTTTCTATGAGTTTCTTACAATTGTGTATTTTATAAAAATAAAAATTTTATAAGGTCTTATGCTAACAGAAGCAGGAATTTTTTAGTATTGGCCTTTACTAAATCATAGAAACTGCAACAGCTACTTATACGTCAGCACGTAGTAAAAGACAAGGTGTGTGATAATGCTTTATGCTTTTTAAACAATAAATTATTTATGATTTCACTTATGAACATTATGTTAAGATATGAAATGAGAGCAGTAGTGTACACTGCCAAAACTCATGGCAAGGTCCTAGCATCACTTTGATAGGTTCAGATGTGTAGTTTTGATATGTGAATTTTTTATCACATATTGCATAGTTTTTAACCCTCATATAACTCATGAAATTGTAGGAACCCAAACCACATGGTAGAAATAAAAAACATCCCTCTTCAGTCCAAAAAAGCCACATTGATACCGCTGGATGATCTCTGGAAACCAGAAATTTGACTAAGGGCTATTCCAACAACTTGCCTGCCAGCTTAAAACATAAGAGAAAGATTCTAACAGGGTCCAGGTGTCCCAGGTGGGCAGCAGGGGACCCTCAAGACACTTATGCACCCTGTTAATTAGCAAATAGCTATCATTCAATCTTTTCTTTAAAGCGTAGTAAACAGAAACTAACAGATACAGCCCTATGAAGAAACAGAGGAGCACGGTAAGTCAAGAGGTAGCAAAAAGCTGACTTTTGAAAAATGCCTACTTCAGGAAACAAAAATTTAGAAAGTATCTGATTTATTGTCTCAAAACTCAAAAGAACATGAATTCTATGAAATAAAAAATTAGATTTCCAAGAGAAGGCAACTGTCTTAGATGAACATAGAGAACACAGAATTAAAAGAAATATGTAATATGAAAGTTGAAGCCATTCTAGATATTTCAATCTGAAGGGATTTAATACAAGGAATTAGTTATAAAGACATAGGTAGCCACCACTACCCACCTTCCTCCCCAGAAAGTCACAGGGAGGAAGTGGTATTACCAGATCCCAAGAATCAAGGTCACCTAACAAAAGCTACAACCACAAATGGGCCAGAGCCACAGGAACTATGCAGTCATTCTCAGAGACGGTACCTCAGCAGAAGGGAGGGGGAGAAATATTTTCTTTGCTCCCTCCTTCCTTCAATGTCCTGCCATTGGCAAAACCTAGCAAGCAGCCTAGGGAAAGCCTAGGGAAGAAAGTTCTCTGCAATACAGAGTAGAGTGAGAGAGAGAATAGGGAATGAATCTGAGAGCAGAGGCAGATCACCACTACCCACAGGTTTCAAGGAAGCAAAGATGTGAAGGCAGAATTGAAGTCTCCACTGGAACCAGTGAGAACAGAATTAGTTAAAGCAATGGCTTCCAAGAAAAACTTAAGAACTGCTCTCAAAATGCAGGAAAAGAAATGAGTGAGAAAAAGATGTATATGAAGACAATAAAGATGCAACGGATGAATATATAATCTCACAAAGAGAACAGAATAGAAAGAATAACTGTAATGCACTTTCTGGTGCAGTCCATTCATCCGTTCCACCTTTCTCTGTTATGTAGCAGTTATGCTATGGGTGGGACTGATTAGCTCCAGGGGTGGATCCTGATTGGCTTAGACTATGCAGAGGCCTCCCATTCCTCTTTTCATAGTGATTGGTTCATTGATGGGGGCTATCCAATCAGAGCAAAGCTAGGGCTTTTGTTTGATGGTTGAGGAAAGTGAACGTTTCTCCCCCTAGACGTGAACCAGGAAGCACAAAGCTCTGGTTGCTGGCCGCCATCTTGGAACCATTAAAGGAGACCAAGTTGCGAGCTAAGACAAGACTCTGAGGAAGGCAGAATTGAAAGCACTGCAGAGGATGGAGCATAGCTACAACCAAAAAGCTCCTGAAACTTTCTGTCCTTGGAGTTTTTAGTTCCTTGAGCCAATAAGTCATCTTTATCATCTTAGCCTGTTTGAAGTAGATATTCTGTTACATATACCAAAAACACTTTAACTCAGTGGTTTTCAACTAGAGGTGATTTTTGCCCCCACCCAGGGGGCACTTAGCAGTGTCTGGAGATGTTTCTGGTTGTCACATCTGGGGCAGTGGGAGGGACTGCTATTGGTACCTAGTGGGTAAAGGTCAGAGATACTGCTAAACATCCTATAATGTACAAGACAGCCCCGAAAACAAAGAATTATCCAGCCCGAAATGTCAATAGTACCAAAGTTGAGGAACCCTGCTCTGATAAAATTATCCAAGAATAAATTTTCCTAAGCTAAAGTAAGATTTGATTTCAAAATAGCTCATCAGGAGCCACAAGAAACAAAGGTGTGTGCGCATGCTCACAACACTTAATATTGAATACAATGAAACAGAGTTTTGAGGGGAAGATCGGCAAAGCAAGAGTTATATTGTATAAAAACCACAAAGACATTCTTAAATGATAAAAAGTTCTGACCACATCCCACCCGCACACTCTAATAACACTCTTCAAACTATATTATAGCAGATGGAGATAAAGCAGAGTGAAGAACTCAAGAATGAGGACATCGTGGCATAAACAGGTTGGTAGTGAGCCCTAAATAACTGTTGTAAATAAGATTTCAACACAAGGCAAACAGCAAATACTATTTACAGAGATACATAATAGGGGCCTAAAACCCCAAATTAAATCTGGATAGAAGATGGAGGAGGAATAAAAACATGCTAAATTCCTTGTCATATATAAAGAAGAAATAGGTGCTATCATTTTGATGTCGATCATTAAATTATAAGTAACTACCAATAGAATAAAACTAGGATATAAGCCATTCAAATCACTACAGAAGAGCAAATTGTGAAAGAAAATAAAATCCATATAGCAGAGCACAAAACAAAGAACATAAAAATGGAACACATACAGTAAGATGACATAAATCTTAGCACAAAAAGGAAGGAATAATTCTATCAGTGGCAGGGGGATGTGGGAAGGAGGTCAAAGAAAATATCCTTGCACTTCAGAGAGAGAGATTAGACTTCAGCTCTGTAGAGCCTGGGCATAACAACTCCTGTGCAAAATGACTGTCAGAGGCCACATGTGAAAACCTAACACTTGCAAAGAGGCCACTCCCCGCTGAGGTGGTCACTGTGGGCTCCAAGCATCAGCTGCCATTGCTGTGGACGGAATTGTGTCCTCCCAAATATGTCGAAGCCCAACCTCAATGTGATGGATTTGAGATGGGCTCCTTTGGGGAGGCAATTAGGGTTAGATGAGGTCATGAGGGTGGGGTCTTCATGATGAGATTAGTGCCTTTGTAAGATGAGACGCTAGAGGGTTGGCTGGCTCTCTGCCACGTGAGAACACAGGGAGAACACAGCTGTCTGCAAGCCAGGAAGAGAGTTCTCACCCAACATGTGGCACCCTGATCTCAGACTTCCAGCGTCCAGAACTGTGAGAAAATAAATTTCTGTTGTTTAAGCCACTCAGCCCATGGTATTTTGTTACGGCAGCCTGAGCTGACTAACACAGTCATATAGAGCAGTGTTTCCTCCATTTGGAGCAACAGTGTTATTGCAAGGATTATGTGAATCTATATGTGGACAAGCAACAACTGTAGACTGATAAAAGCTCTCTCATACATAATTTTTTCAAATGTGCAGTGTATATACACAGCTGTAATTAATAAAAGACAAGCTTATTTTTAAATGTAGCAAAATTCAAAGTAGTTTTTTTCTATCAACCGATTTTAGAGACAGTAACTATCACTTATAAAGTTCATAAAAAATTGACTTGAAAGTATCTGGATCCACTGGCTTAGATTATGGGGAACTTTTTTAAAAATCAGCTAAGCACCATGCATACTTAAGCTTCTAGTACTGAATTCCCTCAATTCCGAGATACCACCCATTGTAGAATGTAGTGTCAACAACAGCTTTTCAAAAGAAAAATTAAAAGAGGGACAATAAGAAGAGGACATACCCATTTTAAGATGGTCCCAATTTCTGAAATGTTCAAATATTTTAAGTACATCTTTGAATTCATGGTTTCATAATTCAAAATGTTGAATTACCTTTAACTTGAGTTAAATGGAACAAAATCATTGCTCTAAACTCCAAATTTTCTAAAGTTTTACCTTTTACACTCTTAAAAGACAGAGAAAGGCATGTGAATCAGCTCCAAGTTCAATCAGTAGTAGCTAAACTTTTGCTGGTTTGTAATGACAAAAGTGGTTCTCCATTCCTGAAATGAGCTAAGTAGCCAAATGGTGATAGGAACAGCTAAATAAAGATGCATCTCAGGCACACCGAGACATACTTGACGACAAAATTCCTTTCAACATCACAATGTGATGACCATAAGATGGTCAACAAATCCAAATATGATATTTAAACCCACTTCATTTTTATATATCACTTAGACAAATATTCTTTTCTCTATACCAGAATATTCTATTAATGAAAAGTAAATAGCCAATTAGTAGTAAATAATACACTTACCTTTACTACTACTCCTGGAAATAATCTAATGAACAGAAGGAAAAAGTAAAGCTTGTATTATTTTTAAAAAGCATTATAAACTATAACATTAATGCAGTAATGCTGATAGTTCTCTAACAGGCAGGCATTGACTTTAAATACAGTAGAAAAACATTTTTAGAGAAATTCTATTTGACCTCCAATCACTTTATTAAAATCACCCTCAATCAGGTGAATGATATATTAGTATGTATGAAAATAAATCACTTCATTTTTCTATAACATTGGTTATGTATATTAATGTTTGTTTCTATTTCATATAATACTCTAATAATAAAATATGGGAGTCTTTTAGTAAAACCCACACCTCAGAAAAACAGAAGTTTTATAAATAACTCAAAGATTCCTGCAAATTATCCATGGTATCCACTCAGTGAAGCATCCAGCCTCATCCTTACCAATGCCGTGTCAAAGAAGTCTTCTGTAACATTAACCAGGGATGTGTCTGAGGCTAGATCTGCCGTGGTCAGAAATCCTGTTGTTCTTTCAAACCAGGAAACCATGTACACAAGAGAAGAAACACTAATGGATACCATTATGACTGAATAACTACAGCCTATTCCATAAAATTTCAGAAGATAATTCTTTCACTAGAGCAAAATAATTTTAAAGACCTTTTTTCATTCTATAACATTTCAATTAAGCCTGGCTGAGGACCCCATCTAGAACACTCCAAGATGGAATGATACTGCTACGGAGTTGCAATAAGTTCTCAGACACCAGCAAGAATTGGAGATTTGGCCAGGATCAATGCTAGAAAGCCATATAAAGGGGCTAGTGAGTAAGGCTTAAAGGACAAATGAGCCTCCCCAACATAGGAGAAGTTCTTATCATATGGGAATCTGTAGAAAACAAGCTATCAAAGCAGATGCAGAATTTGGAAAGTGCTCCAGAAGTATGCGTAGTACAGTAAATATGCCTCAGGTCTGGCTGCCTTTCTTCTGCCAAAAGCTTCGAGCTAATTAGAGATTTTTTTAACATAGGAACATATATCCAAATTCATATTAAGTTGCTAGGATTAGTATGATTTAAAATAAACTTTTATAAACCCTTCTAGAACATATCTATTCAATAAAATGAAGGCCATCTTTGGGCCATTTTTGCTGAGCCTGGTTTCTCTTACAAAAAGAAAAAATCCTCCATGCATAGTTAGAAATCATCAGTTGAATACAAAATTAGTAAGTGGAGTGTGTGATGAACAACTCTGACAGAAGTGGGGCCCTGGAAATTTTGTCCACTTGAGAGCTAAGAACCCAAGGCACCAGCTGAAGACCATGGACAAACCAATCAGTTCTCAACCTTGGCTGCACATTAGGAAATCCTGGGGAGTTCTGAACCACCCTGATGCCTGGGACCCATTGCAGAGCCAGTAAATCAGAATCTCTGGTGATGGGAACCAGGTAGGGCTTGTTAACGCTCTCCAGGTTACTCTAATGGACGGCAAGCCTTAGAGCTACGTTCCAAATAACGTTTCCTTTATCTCAAGTCAAACAAATATTTGCATTAGACTGAATCGTTCACCTCCTGAAGCAAACTTTTCTCCAACAGCCCAAGGGAAGAAACGCCCTGCTGTACAGTGGAACTCACTGCGAAGGAGATATTTTCTCCCTCTCTATGTTCATGCTCAAAATTCTATGCTTTAAATACATTTTTGTCACCATTTCATTTATCCCCCATATCCCATCCCCCTCCCAGCCCACCAAAATATATTGGTTGAGTGTAGATATAGAGAAGTGGGGGAAATGCCACATTATTTGATCAAGACTTAGACTAGAAAGTCACTCTCTGAACCCGTTTATGTGCCAGGATCATACATGGTCTAACAGATGCACCACTGCCCCCACAGCTGTGTCATTACCAGAAACCAGATGAAATAGTTATTTATAGAAGCAATAGCTACCACTCATTAAGAATATGGCATAGGACTAGTTGCTTAATCCTATATGACTAAATACATTTCTTTCCATACGAAATTATTATTCTATGGAGAATAACTTCCCAGCACACTTTGTGTTGAGTCTGCAAACACAATTGGCTTTAAAAGTATAGAGTCTAGTATCCCATCCACTTTGATAATATCTATCTGTTCTCCTTGGCCAAAACCTATGTGAAATACTACTACATGCTTTAGAATGTGTCTAAATGATGGTTATGAAATTTCCATCACCAACTAGAATTCTAGTGAAATATGGAAATTCTTATTTGATTTCAAAACTCCAGTGGAAATTTGATCTGACACTTTAAGCCTTGAGGGCATTTTTAAATCTAAAGAGGAAATTCAGGTTGAGGCAGACCCCAACTCACCTCCCCCCCCCCCAAAATCAGCTTAAGGTTCTCCAGTACCCCTGGGATATCCTGCTCCGCTTCGTTTGCAGTTTTATCCCCTCGTCCCTACTTCCTGTTCTCTGCATGAGTAACTATATCAGGGAGTTAGGTGGGACTAAATGCAAATTGAAATATATACAGTTTGCATAAGCACAGTCCTTAGATCTCCCCTGCAAACACTTTTCAAGTCCCTGAGTGGGACTTGATTAATAACTGACAGCTCCCCTAATTTTTGTCCCTGCTTCCAACGTAGGACCAACTAGAGCAAGTCAAATACGACCCCTAGCCAACCACATAAGATGCCCCACTTCTAGTTAGCCCACCTACACCTTTCTCCAGGGCAGCAGCCTCCCTGCCTGAAGCCTTCCCTTTTTCCACTGTTAATCTTTCCTCCTCCTCTGCCTGCCTTTGAGTCTCTGCCAAAACTCAAGTGAAGGTAGCTGACTCCTTTGCTATAACAAGCTCTGAATAAATACATTTTTGCCTGTTAAAAAAAAATAAAATAAAGTCCCTGAGAGGAGTTAGGGAAAGCCTGGAGTTGACTCTTTCTCTCCTGGAGGGCAGCCCCATAATTAGAGGCATTTTAGAGTAAAAAAGGGCAGAGATAGATCTCCTTGATCCAACCTGGTCTTTTTTTTTTTTTTAAATTTTTTGTTTATTGCAGTAACATTGGTTTATAACATTGTATAAATTTCAGATGTACATCATTATACTTCTATTTCTGCATAGATTACATCATGTTCACCACCCAAATACTAACTACAACCCATCACCACACACATGTGCCGAATTATCCCCTTCCCCCTCCTCCCTCCCCCCTTCCCCTCTGGTAACCACGAATCCAATCTCTGTCTCTATGTGTTTGTTTGTTGTTGTTCTTGTCTCTATGTGTTTGTTTGTTGTTGTTCTTATCTACTACTTAATGAGGTTTGAAATCATACGGTGTTTGACCTTCTCCCTCTGACTTATTTCACTTTGCATGATACCCTCAATGTCCATCCATGTTGTCACAAATGGCTGGATTTCATCGTTTCTTATGGTCTTAACAAACTTCAGGTACTAGAGTCTGGGGCGGGGCGGTGTGTAAATCAAAGATTTTATGACCAGCCAGATCAAGCCTTCTGCCCCACTACCTCCTCCCATCTCCTCACCAATAAATAAATTGTCTAGGGGCTACAGAATCTCATCATGAAAACAAGAGAACTGGAGCAAGAGATTTTGCAAACTCTGCTTTGCTTCCAGATGCCATGATAAAGTCACTCATAATGTTACCTTCTGGTTCATTAAAAAAACAGAATAGAACTACATAGCCGGGGTGACTTAGAATAAGCCAAGAATGTTTTCGCCATTTGTTTTTTTTCAGATTTGACTGGGATTTTAGAAAGTTGGAAAAGTGAGTTGTAGCAAGGGGAATTATTTGATAATTTATCTAGGTCCAAACTTGTTAATAAAGTCTATTAAAATAGTTATAGAGCCTTTGTTGGGAGGAGGGGAGTATAGAATAGTCTACTCCCTTCTCATCCTATATTCCCAAATCAAATTCACTAAAATAAGAAAAACATGTTATTACTGCATTGTTTTGTCATGTGGAGAAGGGGGCTGTTTCTAACTCATTCCTGTACACTCCCAAAGTGCCCTGCCCAGCACATACATCAGGAAACATATGTGGAACTTAATTTTTGTTTGAACATAAGTAATAAGCATTATACCAATTTCTTTTCAAATTTGATTTCAAAGGAACAGAAAGTATCAAATTTAATTAGGCAACTGAATCCACTTTAGTTCTTTAAGTTACCCAAAGCCACACAAAATCACAACATGACACTTATCTTTGGGATCAGTCCTTGTTGAATTAACAAAGGCTCTTCTTCTTTGAGGCCATCTATGAAGAACCGCTGAATACATTTCAGCAACAGTGAAACATTCTGAAATTCATTTTTATCCAGTTCCTAGGTATTAGATCATACTCAGTTAAAAGCCTTACAAATAATTACACATTGGTATCCTGGTCACAAAACAAAACAACTTACTTGCCTTGCTTATTGATCTGTCAAGATGGTGTAATAGAAGATGATTATATTTTTGAGGAATGTGGCGCTCTCTCTCTTGAAAATATTCTTTTATTTTTTGAAATCCTTTATCATGGAAGGCATCAGTAATAAGTGATTGAAGCTGGAAAGTTGATAGTTTGCAAATTACTTTTTTTTCCCAAAGAACATTCATTTCATAGTAACATTTCTAACAATGATTATCGATAATAATTCAGTGTGGAAATAACAGACGGTAAATATAGACTAGAGAGTTATATCTTGAAAAGTAAATAATCACATAGCCAATGACTGAGTTTGTTGGCTTAAGACAGTAGTTAGCAAAACGTGGTACCTGGACCACCAGCAGCATAGGCATCACCTGGTGCTTGTAGGAATCAGAAACTCTGGGGGTGGGGCCCTTCAGGTGATTCTCATGCTAAAGTTTGAGAACCACTGACTTAGGAAAACTACCCTGGAATTACAGGTTTCTGTGAGTGAAGAGACTTTATCCTCAGTAATGTTAGAAATTCTAATACACTAAAAATTTCAAGCCTATTATCACTCATTAAGTGACATAAGAGATCATTATAGAAGGAAGAAAATGAATTCAACACTAATAATTACAGATAATGGAAGCTATAATTACAGATAATAAAGCCATGAATTTGCATGTTTATACAATTTAATGAATGAAATTGATCTTTTCTGCCTGAACATTAGCCAAGACATACTTCTAAGAATATTCACTTGAATAACAGACATTTCCTTAAATATCTGTACTATAAATGATATGATTTTTTAGCTTAAAAAAATCCAGTCCAATCCTACAAGCTAAATTACAATATACAATATTATTTTACAATATTATTTTAATAAGGAGGCATTTTACTATATACAGCCCAAAATTCCACTTATTCTTATAACTGATTTAAATGAGGAGATGGCATTTGAAATTACTTCATTTAAACAGAGTATTTTCTTTGTTGAATTACCACACAGTGAGCCTTTTCGTGCCAAGCGTGCTAAGTGTTCTGCAGATGTTCTCATTTAATCCTCACCACCACCCTGAGAGGTTAGAGTCTTTATCTGGAGATGATACTTGCAAGGCTGGGAAAGGTTAAGAACTGGCATAAGATCACACAGCTGAGATTCACACTCAGATTCTCTGACTCAGAAGCTCCCACTTCTGCCTGGTTTCTCCACACTCAGAATAAATCCAAACCCTCTGCCTTGGTCTGCAGTGGAGGAACAATTGTGCTGATGACCCAGGAACACAGAACTAGAAAGAGCATGCGTGCGCGCGCACATACACACATACACACACACACGGAAAAAACAGAGCAAACTTGGTCTTTACGTAGAAGGCATCCTGGTCCATTCCACTCCTACCATCTTCCTTAACAGACTGCAAAGGACCTTCCTTTTCCTGTGCACAATAAAAGGATGTTTTTAAAAAATTATTATTTCAAAGAAATGGATTTCAAGTTTTAAAATTAAAACGAAAGACATAAAGGTTCATACTGTTTTGCTGAACAAATGGTTTTTGCTCATGGCATTGATTACAGGTAAGATACTGAAAAAAACCAGACTTTCTCCAACCTTTTTTTTTTTTTAAAGATTTTATTTATTTATTTTTTCCCCCCAAAGCCCCAGTAGATAGTTGTGTGTCATAGCTGCACATCCTTCTAGTTGCTGTATGTGGGACGCGGCCTCAGCATGGCCAGAGAAGCAGCACGTCGGTGCGAGCCCGGTATCCGAACCCGGGTCGCCAGCAGTGGAGCGCGCTCACTTAACCACCAAGCCACGGGGCCGGCCCCTATCCAACCTTCTTTAGCACTATCTATGACAAATACAAACTATCACAAGAAGCAAAGCAAACATCACTGTAATAAGTGGTTACACAAAATAGATAAATTTAAATTCTATAGTGATGACTATGAAATGGAAGAAAGGCTTTGAACTAATGAACAGTCTTCAGAATGAGAGCTTGTAAAATAAAGTTTTTAAAAGTGCCTTTCAAGCCCAGTCATGAGTTTAAGCTTTGTTTCTGACATATGTGAATTTTAAACACGACTCTAGGGTTTACACTGAAACTTCAAGGATCAAATATCAACAACCATCACAGGAGAACTTACAGAACATTTAGTAGTGGATTGTAACGCATTTTCTTCGCAAGTGACCCCTGAGTCTACCATCCTGATTTTCACAACACATTATGCTGTTAAATCATATGCGTTGCATCTGCTCACTTCATCCCAGCAATTAATTTAATTGAAAATATAATACACAAAAAATATTTTTCAATATATCTTCTAAAGAGTTTTAGAAAATCTAGCTTGGTTTCTAACAGTCTTACTTCTATATGTACTTGACCAAAATCCTTAAACGTCAGCATCTTTTACAATATTATCTTTATTTATAAATATGAAAAATAGGATGAATTCAAAGACCCAAATCCAGACTTATTTTTTTCACCAGCAGGGTATTCAGTTGAATGAATAATGAAAAGTAGAAGCACTGGCGATACCAATTCACCTCCAACCCTGGGGCCGTGGGCTCTTAGGCTTTATCCTTGGCAGTGCGGCTAGCAGAAGTCCAAGGACTTGGGACCATAGATCTCAGGCCCAGGTGGGTTAATGTCATTGCACTTTTTACGCAGCAAGGAGGAAACAATCCCGAGCAACTTGAAAAGAACAATCTTATTGCCTTCCAAACATTAATTCTCTAATTTCCCCTTCCCTGAGAGTTTTATTAGCAAGGGACCAGAGGTTTCTATCGTGCCTCGTTATCTCTCTGAAAGCTGCCAAGCAAACCTAAGGAGGTTGAAGCACCCAAAGGGCCCCTGAAGGGCCCGTCCCTCTGCTGCCTGGGACTGGAGCCGCGCCAGACTCTGGCGGAACACGCAACGCTCTGTGCTCAGAGCCCCCTAGACCGCGCGCCCTCGCGACCTCCTTGAACCGTGGCGAGGAGGCTGGGGCCTCCGGGAGTCACTCACCGCCTGCATCCCGAGGCTCCCGGCCGGACGCCGCGCACCCGGGCCCACGGCGCGCCACGCAGCTGCGCCGCGCTCAGCCTCCTGCACTTTGGCCGCCCGAGGCCCGGGCGGGTTGGGATGAGCTGCAGCGAGGGCCCGTTAGCCCACGGCTCTCGGATTCCGATCTTCGCCAGGACGCTAATCGATGAACCCCGCCCCTGAAATTTACTAGAATCTTGTGTTTGAGACCCAAGATTCGCTTGCAAGTAACTAGCAATCGTGGTCAGGCCACCTAAGCGCACGCCCACATACCTTAAGAGAGAGTACTCAAAGGGTGAAAACAACGTCGTTTAAACATTCTTGATATGCGAAATTCTAAACTGATAGCTGTCCCTTTTGCGGAAGCCAGCACTTTTCTCTCCACGTTTTACAAGTGGCGGAGCTGTTTTTTGGTCCGTTGTTATTGATATAAACTGAACTTGCCCCATAGGAACCAGATTTGTACCTGAAATTTTGTGTTTATTTCTGATATCAAAAAAGAAGGTTTTTTTTTTTAATACCTCGATATATTCAGTCAAAATAAAACAATGCAAACGAATATTTCCATCCAGTTTGCTTGTTTTCTGCCCACTTCCTTTAACCCGACAAGAATGTATACTAATGGCCGGGTTTAGGCCTGCCGATAGGTGACCTGTTATGTGAACAGAGTGGCAAAAATAAGTTTAACTGGCGTTTTGTTAACAAACAAACAAAACGACCCCTCAAATCCAAACATTCGTTTAGTAAAAATCAACTTGTATTATAACTAGATGCGATGGGTATTTCATGTCATGACTTTTACAGAAGTTGTTGGTATCACAGCAACGCAAAAACCCAGAATCTCTGCTGGTGGGCCCAGGACTGTGCAGGCACCTCCAGTCCATCCAAAATGATCCCTATTTCAAAGCTCCTCATATCCATTTCCTGGCAAATATGATGCAAATATACTCACATTAATTTACCTACTTTAATCTAAACCTAGTCAATTCAAAGCCTTCTTCCTTTGCTTTTGAAGCAATAGGCTTTTATGATATCAAAATAGTAATCAAGAAAGAGCCAGCTGTGGGCCCGCCGCGTGGCTTAGCGGTTAAGTGCACGTGCTCCGCTACTGGTGGCCTGGTTGGGATCACGGCGTGCACTGATGCACCGCTTCTCCGGCCATGCTGAGGCCACAACCCACATACAACAACTAGAATGATGTGCAGCTATGACATACAACTATCTACCGGGGCTTTGGGGGAAAAAAGAAAGAGGATTGACAACAGATGTTAGCTCAGGACCAGTCTTCCTCAGCAAAAAGAGGAGGATTAGCATGGATGTTAGCTCAGGGCTGATCTTCCTCACAAAAAATAAAATAAAAAAGAAAGAGCCAGCTGTGAAAATAAAGTTTTCTGAATCAATGCAAATATTAGTGCAGGAAAGAACTGAAGCATAATAACAAACAGTAATCAAAATACAGTTTAAATACATTTTCTTTTAGAGAATAAAATAAGAATATATAAATAATATAATAAAATTAAAGTTTTCTTACTATTAGAGAAAAACTGTATAATAAACGCTTTTCAGACTTTTGGGGAAAATACATCTTTCCAAACTATATGGCTGTTAATGCATTCAAATTTTCAGGAGAAATTAAAGATAACTTAATAGACAACCACCCCATTGATTTATTTTTATTTTGCTATATTTTCGCTTTGATTAGCATCTTTTACTAACATGTTTTACCAAGACATAATATTAGGGCAACTTGGAATATATATTCTAATTCTTCTCAAACTAAATATGGTGGAGACTCTATGATATTTCTTCAGACACCAGAATCCATTTAGGAAAAAGTATATGATTAATTGATTTGGCTTTAACATTAAAAAATTGTATTTATTTATATTTTTGAATGGTAAGGAATCTCTAGGAACAATCCAAAATTATAGAGACAGGAAATATTCTAACAAGGTTTACAATAAGACCAGAAATTAATTTCTATGCATTCTCAGAGGTGATTTAAAATTATTTTTTGTTACATTAAAACATTAAAAAATATACATCATCTTAAACTATCACAATTAACGAAATATCCATTTGTGAAAAAAAAAAAATGAGGGCCGGCCGCTGGCGCAGGCGGTTAAGTGCGGCGCACTGGGCTTCGGCGGTCCGGGGTTTGCAGGCTGGGATCCCGGGCACGCACAGATGCACCGCTTGTCAAAGCCACGCTGTGGCGGTGTCCCATATAAAATGGAGGAAGATGGGCATGGATGTTAGCTCAGGGCCAACCTTCCTCAGCGAAAAAAAAAAAAAAAAAAAAGAGGCGGATTGGCATCGGATGTTAGCTCAGGGCTGATCTTACAAAAAAAAAAAAAAGAACCAACAATAATTTTAACGTTTGGAAATCAAAACAACACAAAAAACAACTGAATGAGAGGAGTTGCCAGGACCTTCCGCAATCGGTTAATACGATGAAAGTCTGTGGATGAAACTAAGAGGCGAAGAGCGGACACCTCTCTCCGTTTCCTCCCAGAACTTAGTGGCAACTATGTGAGCGTGATTTTAATCGGAAACTCTGAGCAACCTTTCAGAAGAGAACTTTGGGGGAGGGGAAGCTGGGGGATAAAAAATTCATTCTCCTGCGTAGGCTTTTCGCCTCTGCTTGGGAGGAAAATCCCAGCTGTAAACTAGAGAAAGAAGAAAATCTGTGGAACTGCCCAAAGCTGGCATTTCCCGTCATGAGAGTTCTGCGCTGGTCGGCTGCCAATGGCTGGCGGCTCTGAAACGCACTTCACTATTGGGTTGACTTTTCTAAGAAGCCTGACTGTGCAGTTGACCCGGAGGCAAGAGGACCTGGAGCGTGGATGACGTCCGCCTCCTGAGATCGTTTAGCACAGGTTGTGGGTTTAAGGCTCATCTGCTTTTTTGAGCCTTTCGCCAAAATAGCAGACTAATCCTCCTGCAAGAAGCGCTGGCCTGGGCGCCTTGCAGGCCAGGTCCCACGCAGCATCAGTCCGTGCGCCCGGCGCGCGCTCGGCGAAGCCAAGGTCTAGAGTGCGCCAACCTCGGGCTTGGGAGGGATGCAGGTTCGCAGCATCCTCCTCTAACAGTGATCCGCCTTCACGGGCCCGCTCTTCTCTGGCTAGGGCTGAGAACCAAAATGTGCCTCTTGCAGAACAAAAGCGCAGGGAATAAATTCCAGAAACCCATCTTCTCTCGCCGCCCAGGGTGGCTAAAGAGCGACTTAAGTCGCTTCAATCGATTTCTTTTATTGGGCGCCTCCAGGTACCGGAATCCCCCCAACGAGGCAGATGCACAGGTGAAGAAGGATTGGACTCAGCCCTGCGGAGCCCACAGCGTGCTAGCCGCTTCACCCGGCTGACTGGTCCGGTCTCCAGAAAGCCTCCTCAGATGGAATGGGGGTAAATACGATTTTGTGTGATATTTCCACGACAACACTAATAAAGACGATTTTTTAAAAAGCTTGTTTCAGGTGGACGGCGACTGAGAACTCACTGAGCCCCAGCCCCTCGTTTAAACAGATAAGGAAACTGAGGCCCAGAGAGAGCCTAGGCGGGAGAGAGAGCTACGGGTTCTGTGGGGTCTTATGCGCTCATCTCCTCCCACCCCTAACTCATCTCCCTCCCTTCTCCGAGTTCACTTTCCCGGAATCTCTTCCCACGATCCCTCCGCAGCCCCGGGAGCGTGAGCGCACCTTTGGCATCCCCTCGGATGTCACTCCCACCCCCCGCCCCACACACACACAAAAGGAAAAACAAAAAATGAGCACAGACTCCCAGACACGCACAACAGCTACAGCAAAAGCCCCGGGAGCAGAGGCCCAGAGAGGGCTGGCCCCAAGCTAGTCGGCGTGGGCGCAGTTACTCAGACAGGGGCCCGCGGCGACCGAGGGTCCTACGGGTGGGTCCCGCTCTGTCCGGGAATTGGGCGTTAGCTCTACGGAGACTTTGCTGGAAAGTCCTGATTTCAAAAGCCTGCATCTAACCCCAATCTGAAACTGCGCGGCGAGGTTACAGGAAAAAAAAAAAAAAAAAAAGATTTTTAACTAAAATGAGACATTCCAACCTCCCCAACCCCTCCTTCGCCCCTTGACATCTTGTCTTCAGTTTCCAGTCATCCCAAGGGCTCACGTCTAGCTTCCCCTGCGTTCCTAGTTCTTTCTGGAAGGGGGTGACCGGCCCTGCTGATGCCTGGAGCTTGGGAGCCGTCGAGGGAACGAGGAAAGGCGGGGCAGGAGGAGGTGTGTCTTTATAAACGCTGCGGTCTGAGTGGGGATCTTTCAGGACCGTGGCCGAGAACAGGGCTCGGCCTGATTCCTTAACTCCTTCTGGAGTTCTAAATAATTATTCTCTCTCTCTGTCTCTGTCTCTCTCTGTCTCAGTCTCTCTCTCTCTCTCTCCACTTTCTTTTTAAAGAGGAAAAAAATCACCCTGTAGACCTCTAGGTTTTTTCTTCTGTCTTCCAGGATCCTTGGCGGAGAGCGCGAGCGAGGTGGGGCAGATGCCGGCGGAAGCGGGGCACAAGGCGGACTGTGCGTGCTCCTACGGGATGAAGCTTAGTTGGGACATCAACGACCCGCAGATGCCTCAGGTGCGTGAAACCGGCGTGCGCGCGCCTGGCGCTGTCCATCCAAAGAAGGGCGATGGCATTCAAGTTCTTGCAGAGACTGTGGACAGGCTTCCCCACTTCCCCTTCTACAAACACAAACACACGTTGCTGAGAGCCCTCAAATGTAAAGGGACTCCACAAATGGCAGAGTTGGGTTTAGAGATGTGTATTCTCCCCGCTCTTTCCTTGCGCTGGTCTGAAAACACACCGACAGCAGCAGGAACTATCAGGCTCCGAGTTCCCCGTCGTCTGGCGGGAGCAGGACGCCTCATCCCTCACTCTCTTTTAACCAAGGTAGAAATCAGGTGATTCTCTCCTTATCCGTTCTTTGAAATCCATGAGAAAGGTAGGGGAAAATCTCCAGGAATGTAGATACCACTGCTTCTCACGCAGCAAAGCTGAGATAGGACTGTAAATCGCAGTGACCCGAATCTTAAACAAATAGCGCGGCTTACGCAATTTAATCAGACGCCCACGGCTGCCTGGATGAAGCGCGGCTCCTAGAAGGCTCCACAGTCGTGCTAACCAGACCGTACACGCCCAGAGAGCCTCCGGAATCCGGATTTTGGATGTAACTTCTGAACTTACTTCTCTAAAGACAAGGAAATCGCCGTCCTTTTAGGATGATTTTGTTTTGTTTTGTTTTGTTTTAATGGAACAAAGTGGTTTGGAACCAAGTCCAGGGAATGAGCAGGGCACTTTGGTCATACTGGTTTGGGGCAAAAACTGAGAAGTGACTTGAAAGTCCTGGGTGTAGGCGGCGGGAGAGTGGGCGTGGCCTCTCTACATTTGCAAAGGTGGACTTCCGGCCATGTTGTGGCACAGGGATGAGACTTGGCATTTATTCAGCATCTGCCATGTGCCATATGGATGCCAGACAGATAGCAGTTCATTAGCAAGGTTGTGTAGCCTCTCAAAGAGACCAGGGCCTTTTAAAATGTACATATTTGTATTAAGTTTGTTTGTTTTCAAGTCTGCCTACTTTAGAGTCACACTGTGTCATTTTTGTGCAAGTGGGCCACAGTACAGCAAGGTCTACTCCTCCTCACTGACTTCAGTCCACATAAATCGTCATGGGAAAAAACCTAAATCTTGCATTTTAGAAAAGAGCCACATCCAAATAATGGACAGATGGCTCCTCTCTCAAGCATTTTCTAGGCTTCCATGCAAATGTGAGTTATTTTTCCTTCGGGAGACTGGTTCTGAAGCAGAGAGTGTGTGCAGCCTCTCGAGGGGCAGGTGCACTGGGATATGGAAAGGGAACTGGGGAAACAGGCTCCTTGCCCTGCTCTGGCTAACTGAAGCAGAAAAGCTGTACTGGCTGTTTGACCTTGAGAGAGTTCCTGAATTTGCCTTAGTCTCAGGCTGCTCACCTGTCATCAAGTGGTGGAACTAGATAACAATCTTAAACTCTCAGCCAGGTCTCCTGTCTCGTTCGGTGTGGGCATGCTCGTCTGTGTGTGTGTGCTCGCATGTGCCATCACATGAGAGCAAATGAAACCTGCACCTGGAGTCCTCCATGCTTGTTTTGATTTAAATATACAGTCTCTGTGGCTTCATTTTTAGTGTCACTACTTTGGTAGCTGATGTGAGACATGGGGGCCTAGTCTGTACCCTTACAGGGGAGTGTGAAAGGAATACTCTCTTCTGGAAAATTGTCTATTTGTTACTAAAGTCCTTAAATTGAAATGTTCACTTTAAAAACAAAGATATTTGCATTTAATGTAAACTTAGAGTTAATAGTACGTTATTGTATATTTCATTTGTGACTTACCTTGTCAGCATATTAATTTATGTCAATTATAATATTTCCAAGAAAAGATAAATAGTGCCTCCTAGTAATAATAATGATTTTACCAAGATCCCTGTGGTTTTGGAAACAAAATTGCCCATTTACCTATTACTGTTGAAATGTACAATACTAATGATGTACACAGGTCTGAATTGTCCAACTGAGAATAGTTTTGCTTTGCAAATGTTGGATTGCATTTTCCTGGGGTGGGGGGTGGGGGAGAAGTTGCAAATGGCTTATCACTGTGAAAATACTCTGCTGAGCCTCTCTCTTACCAGTAACGCCAGTGGGGCCTGGCTGCCCCAGATCTTCTGTCTCAATCCCAGCTATGCCACTATAGAAAGTTATCTAACTTCCCCTTCCTTATCTATTAAATAAGAGTAAGGATGCCCATCATGCAAGGATGTTGTGAGGATTACAAATACTGCATAATATGGCTTTGTGGGCCACACTGTCTCTGTCCCAAATATTCAATTCTGTATTGTAGTGTGAAAACAGCCATGGACAATATGTAGATGGATGTACGAGGCCGTGTCCCAATGCAACTTTATTTATGGATGCTGAAATTTGAATTTTATATAATTTTCAGGTCACAACATATCATTCTTTTGATTTTTTTTCCCCCTAACCATTAAAAAATATAAAAATCGTTCTTAGCTTGTGGGCTGTACTAAAACAAGTGGCCGGCTGGATTTCGCGCACAGTCCCTAGTTTGCCGACCCCTGCCCTAGAGAGTACCTGGTAAAGCATAAGTGCTCGGTAAAGGGTAATTTTGTATTAAACTTACATACAAGAAAGACATTGCAGTATAAATAATGCATAATATGGACAAAGACCACCAAACGTGAATAGTAAGGCAGCGCTCACTATTTTAGATATCAGTTGTTATTTCAGCCACGTGGCTCTTTGTTGAGCAGAATGACAACCCATGTTGCTCTGAGGAGAGGTCGGTGCTCAGTGGCCTCCACCCAATGCTCGGTTTACCTTGATGGGTAGGCCCTGCATCCAGATGCCCTGGTAACCTTGGAGAGCTAAGCTGGGAGGAGCGAGGGAAACTGTTCCTGCCTCTCTGATTCCTTGCTCTGGGTATCACTGCTGATGTGACTGACAGGTTTGGGATAGAGCCAAGAGCTTCTGAAGAAAAAGCACAGGATGGAAGTAAAGGTATTTACTCAGGCTCAGTCGCATGTCAGTGATAGAGCATTCCCAACACTTTTTGCCCTGGCGCTTTGCTACTTAATTTGAAAATGTTTTCAACATTTAAACATACCAAGAAGTAGTATAACATGGTGGTAAGGAGAACAACTCTGGAGTCAAACTGCTAGGGCTCAAATCCTACAGCCAGGTCTTACTAGCTGTGTGACCTTGGGCAAGTCAGTTAACCTCTCTGGCCTCCCTTTCCTATTTGGTAAAATGGAGTAATAACAGTACTTATTGTCTGTGTGTATTATGAAGTATAGGTGAATTGATAAATGTACAGTATTTAGAAAAGCACCATATAAATATCGATTATTAGCCAGTTGTCAGAAAGGCTGTACATAGGATGAGTGCCACCTTGTGGTACCATAGGTTCTGAGTTTCACAACATTTCTGGATCTAAAAATAACCAATTTGTATTCTAATGCGCTTGGGGAAAATTAAAAGCTTGCCGTGTCGGGTTTGGGCTTGATAACCTTGCCGGCTCTCCCTTTTGTGCGCCCTTCCAGGAGCCAGCCCATTTTGACCACTTCTGTGAGTGGCCCGACGGCTACGTGCGCTTCATCTACCGCAGCGACGAGAAGAAGGCGCAGCGCCACCTGAGCGGCTGGGCCATGCGCAACACCAACAACCACAACGGCCACATCCTCAAGAAGTCGTGCCTGGGCGTGGTGGTGTGCGCGCGGGCCTGCGTCCTGCCCGACGGCTCCCGCCTGCGGCTGCGGCCCGCCATCTGCGACAAGGCGCGGCTGAAGCAGCAGAGTGAGCGCGGGGCCGGGGTGGGGGTGGCCTTGCAGTCAAGAGCTCCCTATTCCCAACTAATTTCCCTTCTTCCTTCAAAAAGATCTGGGGTCGGGGTTGTTACTAATATTTCTCCCCTCTGGCTTTGCAGAGAAAGCATGCCCCAGCTGCCAAGCTACTTTGGAACTGATTCCCTGTCGAGGGCACAGCGGGTACCCTGTAACCAACTTCTGGCGGCTTGAGGGCAACGCGATATTTTTCCAGGTAGGTGGGAGGACACCACAGTTTGTGATGGATATTTTCATCCGGCGTAGGGACCAAACCACCTGCCGTGTGCCTTAGGAACTCAGGACCAAACCAAAGACAGCTCTGGTGGCCAGAAAGAGATGCTGGGGCTCCCAGGGCCTTCCCAGGCTCCTAGGAATTAGCTCACCTACCCTGTGCTCTAAGGGCCGGAGAGTGAACCCAGTTACAGTGACAGCTGTTTTCATATGGTGAAGGGACTGTCAGGTAATCTTTTAAGATGTTTATTATTGATGCTGTTTTATTAGTTCAAGAATTTTTTCCCTTGTCATTTTGAAACAAACAAACAACTTGGGATCTCGGGAAAGACATAATCAATTTTTGACGAACATTGCCAGCTTCCTTCAGAGGAACACGTATATGTTTCGTTTTTGTATTAATGCAGGCCAAAGGAGTTCATGATCACCCAAGACCAGAGAGTAAATCAGAGACGGAAGCTAGAAGAAGTGCCATCAAGAGGCAAATGGCCTCTTTTTACCAACCCCAGAAAAAGAGAATTCTCGAACTGGAGGTAATGGGGAGCTGACATTATACTCTGGTCTGTGTTCATTTTCATTGCAAAATACGCTGAGAATTATGTGAAATATGAATGTCATACACTAATTAGAAAGGTTTAATTTTATGTGAAAATTATATATCTCTAACAAAATGTTATTGAATCAACATTTTGGATAGAATTTCTAATCCCTTATTCTTCTTACAAAAAAGCAAACTATCTCTGCAGTCAATGATATAGCGAGGATGTGTGCTGACATCCTGATACAAGGCAATTATCCAGTGGTCATAAAGAAAGAAATACGTGCGTACCTACAGTGAGTGAAGGGTGCATCCTTGAGAGGGTCTTTTACATTATTTACATAGAACAGATAAAATTTCTTTGGGCAACTTGATCCAGTTTGGCTTTTCAACCAAAGTATGCCAAGTAGGCAGAGTGTTAGTCTGAGGATAAGAGAAACTGACATTGTTTAAGCACTTTCTATGTGCCAGACACATGGGGCCTGAGTTTCACACAAGAAATGGTCACAAAAGCCTCAAGAGGAGGTTTCTACCATTGAGCCCCATTTTTGAATGAGGAATATGAGGCTCAGAGACGTTAAGTAACTTGTTCAATTCATGAGGGACAGAGTCAGGATTTGAAAGCCAGGTCTGTGTTGGGCTCCTGAGTCTCTGCTATTATGAACATAGTATTGGGGGACCATCTGCCACTCAGACCTGACCTGCCTGGCTACCATGGACCCTCCTCATTCAGCATCAGGGAATTCATGCCTGAGCAAACTCAAGCTAAGCAACCCCTGGACCACGTGCCCAAATTATGTACCTGAGCAGGAGAGTGCCCATAACACAGAACTCACCAACGGGAAGTTTGTTTTTATTTGGTTGGTTGGCTACTCTTACAGGTGAGGGCACCCGTGCAATTTACATTTTTATTTACAGATAAAAATTTGTATCATTTTTTAGGCAGGAGAGAGTCAAGACAACAGTGGACATTTCAACAGCATACCTCCCCTGGAAAATCCAGAAGAGTTTGATATAATTGCTGACTCTGGCTTCCCTGTTCCAGAGCAGACTTGCTTTTCCTTTCCAAACTCTGATGCTTACAAAGCCGCCTGTGACCTAGCCACCTTTCAGGGAGACATGGTGCCACCCTTACAGAAATATCCAAACCCAAGAGTCTACTTGCCTAGGCCACCCTGCAGCTATGAATTGGCAGGCCCTGCTTATACAAATTCGAGCCCATATCCCACCCTTTATAAAGATTCCAGCAATTTCCCTAATGACACAGATTGGGTTCATCTGAGTGCGTTACATTATAATGTCAACTCATACAGCAGCTTCGAGAGAAGCTTTGATTTCAGCAGTAAACAACACGGCTGGAAACCAGCTCTTGGAAAACCTGGCCTTGGGGAGAGGACTGACCATGGACAGTTCCAGGCCATGGCCACTCGCCCTTATTATAACCCCGAGCTTCCCTGCAGGTACCTCACGTCTCCCCCACCAGGTGCCCCAGCCCTACAGACCGTGATCACCACCACCACCAAAGTGTCCTACCAGGCCTACCAGCCCCCTGCTCTGAAATACTGTGACAACGTGCGGGAAGTTAGCCTATCGAGCTGTAACTACGCTTCTGAAAACACCCCAATGTCCCTCTATCCGGAAGCGTTGGACCTTCCAGCTGCAGTTGCTAGGGCAGCCTCTCCAGCAGGGTCACTGCCTTTGAAAATTCCAGGAGACTGCAGGGCCATCAGACCCAATTTGGCTTTTCCTCAAGAGTCAGCTCCCTCCAGGACAGATGGAGCAGAGACTTGGGAAGTGTGTCCATCTGGACTGGGGTCTGCCATCAGTTATGCAGATAGAGTTAGTCCGTTCTTTAGCTGTGACAATGAAGACTTTTGAACAACACTCCTGGGCATGACATAATACTGGTGTCCATGCAGGCAGCGAAACATGGAATGGCAACAAGAGTTGGAGATTCATCTCATATGCAAAGATATATATATATATACATATACATAGTAAAAATGTTGGTCAGCTGAGGAAATTATGGGTTGGAAATGTTTAGATAGTATAGGGAAATTTCACACAGCATTTTAAAACCCACTACAGTACAGAGAATTAGGTCTGGAACGTGGCTGTCCCAAACCAGCAAATAAGCGGACTGGAGACCATGAAGATTAACGAGCTAAGTCCATTTAACTTGTTAGCTGGAGCAGAAGTCAAGAATCCTCGTTCTCATTCTAAGCCTTTTCCTATTAGACCATATTAGGGAATTTCACAAATCTTTATTTGGCCCTTAGAAGTTATCAAAATAGCCTCAGGAAGAAATCTTTACAAGCTTGTCTCCTGAGTCATTTTATAAGATTTTTATCTAGCGTTTACAACTTGTTAAAATAGCTTCGGGAAGTAATTTTGATCATTTTATGTCCAAAGTATATAATCTACAGCTTTTTAAAAAATCTGCAATATTGCAATGACAACAGGCAATTGTTTTTAAGAGAATTTTGTTTTCCAGTATCAGCTGAATACCTTTTCTTAACATTGACGAATGTTTTCATAACAGAGATAGCCCAACAATGATGATGTGTACATAATGGATTATTATTGTACTAACATATATTTTGTCTGATTAAGTTTCAAAATTAGAATTGAGATGTTTTATTCAAATATAGCTTTACTGTTCCTTTGTTGCTCCTCATAAAAGTAGTTGATAATGTTGATCAATTGAATGTAATAAAGACATTTGAAGGTAATGTAGCTGATGCATGGGTTATTTCAACATAGAAATAGGAAAAAAATATCGTTCATATCATGACCTGGGAAACAGTTATTATAATAAATTAAAACATGTTAGTTTATTTAACAGTTTTGTACTTTATTTTAGAAAGAACTATTTGCTGTACTAATAACAGAAAACCTCTTCAAAACGTTGGGTGTGCACAGACACAGACACTTTTGCATAGCTCCCAAGAATAAGTGAAAATATTCAGTTTTCAAACAAAAATAAACTACATAAATAAATTTTTGAGAATGAAAGGGGAGAAGTACTATCCTCAAATTTGCATAGAATACCCAATTTGCATTACTAAATTGCAGTCATGTCATTTTAAATCACTGAGGGTTATATGTTGCTCACCTGATTCCTAAAGCCCTAATACCCTGTTGTAATAAATACATGCAGGACTGATCACAAGACTAAATAAATATGAGTACATTCCTATGGTTCCCTCGCCAGCTTTTTCTCAAGGGCAAGGATGCCTAGTACACTTATGGACTACTTGTTTTTTAGACTTCCTTTGCCAAAACTCACAGCTTCTAATAATATCTAACATTTATGTAGCACTTGCATGGGCCAGACGCTGTTCTAAGCCTGGAATATGTATGTATTTATTTAACCCTGAGAGAGGTGAAATGCTGCAGTAAGTGGCAGAGCTGGGATTTGAATTCAGGTCATCTCCACGGTCTATGCTCTTAACCACCACATTACATTAGCTTTGATTATATTCATTTATCAATGAAATTCTATTTGTTTTTAACAAGTGTTGTACTCAGCATGGAGTAGCGAGGAGTTTTGTTACTTCTAAGTATTTATGTCTTAACATGGAACCCGAGGCAGGACAGTTAGAGAGGGCATGGATGGGAGTGAACAGACTTGGGGTGGAGGCCCTGAGGTGAGCATTCCTAAAGTGTGGTATAAGGGTGCCCCAGGTCACAGGGTGATTCTAGAGAGTCTACAAATATTCTATTTAATAGTTACAAATTTATTTTAATGTGTATTAGGTAAAGATATAAATAACATTAAACCTATTATTTCAGGATGTTTTTGCCTAGACAAAGCAAAATAGTTTTTTGTTTTAGTTTTATTGTTTTAAGGCAAGGCAATTTAAGGAAAAATATTAAGCAAATAATAGTACAGATGTTGCAAGGAAAAGCCAAAAATCATCAAAATGGTTGAGGACCACTGAATAATGAGACGCACTGCCCTAGAGCAAGGGGCCAGCAGGCTGATGGGAAGTGGCTCAGCTGGAAAGGGTAAATGGTGATGACAATGAGATTGGATAAAGCAGAAGCTGACGAGGAAAACAAGCTCAGATGTGACTTGGGGCATCCGCAAATTGAACCACAGTATTGAGGAGTCTAGACAGCGGGCGGCACTCAGGAGCTAGGCAGTGCGAGTTGATCCCAGGAGAGGTGGGTGAAGACAGAACATCCCTCAAGTGTTGGCCAGGGCCCCCTTCCTCCAAGGAGCCAGGTTACACGGGAGGGTGGCTGTGTAGCACAGATCAGCTCTTGGAAACTGGGCCGACTGAGGAAGGCACAGGGAGATTTAGACTCTGGATCATCTCTATTGCTCTGAAAAACTAATCTATTAGGGAGCAAAAGAGTTTTGTGGAAAATGAATGAAAGTAGGAAATTTACAAGAGCATAGCTGTCATATTATTATTAATATGAAATATTAATTATGACTACCAGTTATTAATAACTATTTGATTACTAATTTAAGGCTTTCAAATGTGGGAAGTATAAGAGCTGCCAAAGCTTCTGACATACTTTGTTCTAATCAGCTTGTGAACTGAGATGAGCCCCAGCCTGCAGCAAGACCCATGGCTACATCAGCTGCTGAGAGCAGACGAGGATAAAGCAAAGGAGGTGAGGCCAGGCTGATAGCTGAGCCCTTTGATCAAAGCATGTGTCCTCAGTCAGACTTAAACAGTGCCAAGGGACACTAAACAGAAACCCAAGTTATTCACTTGCTAACCATTCTTTCCTCTTCATGAACAGTGCATAATCTTAGAATAGACTTGATATACTTACCTGGAAGAATCACGGAGTATTGAACCAAACCTCTGACAGTTTCAATGGAACATTTGTCAGAAAGGCTACTGGGCTTCTTTTCATAATTTAAGGATCTTAGAGAACACTATTAACTAATAATCTGTGAGACGTTGCACTTAAAAAACCATTGCAAATAGAATTCACAACTGACAAAATGATTTGAAAAATGGTCTCTCACTGCCTCCATCCTTCTATGGTTCACAACCTCCCTCTACACATTAGAATCACCTGGGGAGCTTTAAAAATCCTATTATTGGGGCCGGCCTGGTGGTGCAAGCGGTTGGGTGCGTGTGCTCCGCTGCGGCGGCCCGGGTTTCGCAGGTTCAGATCCCGGGTGCGCACTGATGCACTGCTTGTCAGGCCATGCTGTGGCGGGGTCCCATATAAAGTGGAGGAAGATGGGCACCGATGTTAGCCCAGGGCCAGTCTTCCTCAGCAAAAAGAGGAGGATTGGCAGATGTTAGCTCAGGGCTGATCTTCGTCACACACACACACAAAAAAAAATCCTAGTATCAAGGATGCACCTCTGACCAATTAAATCAGAATCTCTAGGGGTGAGACCCAGCCATCAGTATGTGATAAAGCTTCCCAGGTGATTCCGATCTTTAGTGTAAGTAGTCCCAGGAAGCTGGAAGCAATATGGCCTCCTGGAGGCTTGAAAGAGAGCCAGTATTTTCAGTGTAATTAATCTCTATTATCTCTAATGTTCTCATGGATGCCATTGTTTTCTTCATTTAATGAAAAAGGAAAATGGGCAGGAACCAAATCACCTACTTGTTGCTATTTAAAGTACAAATTAAAAATTCGGTTTTTAAAGCAACAAAATTAGATATAATACCCTGCCTATAAGTCAAATCATGAGCTCTTTCGTTCATTCAACAAATATTTATTGAGCTCCACTGTGAATTAATGATGTGCTGGTATTAGATATAAAAAAGTGAGTTAAATAGAAGTCTCTGCCCTCTTGGAGCTAGCAGGCTGGTGGGCTACACAGACGATAAAGAGGTAAGAAAACACTGTAATTACAGAAGGGAAAAGCCATAAAGGAGAAAACAGGTGCTGAGATAGAGAATAAGGAAATGGAAGTGAACCTGTTTGGATAAAGTCATTAGGGAAGAGCTCCCTGCAGTACAGAGTTAAGAACTGAAGGATGAGAAAAGACTAGCCAGGTGAACAGCCAGGGAAGAGATTGCAAATAGAGGAACAGTAAGTGCAAAGGCTCTGAGGCAGCAGAGTACATGTGGTCCCAGAAGGACTAGTGCATAGTGCAAGAGGAAACACGGTGTAAATGGGTTGGAATGGAAAGCAGGGTCCAGAGTATTGAAGTCCAAGACAAGGAATTTAGATTTTATTCCAGGAGCAATGGCAAACCACTGAATAATTGTAAGTAGATAAGTGAAATGATCCAACTCATGTTTTGAGAGGATCATTTTGAAACTATATAAATAATGGATTGAAGCTGGCTTCAGGAAGCAGGGAGACTACTGCAGGAAATGATGATGGTTTGAATTCAATGGTAACGGGAGATGGAAGGAAGCAGACAGATTCAAAGTGCAATGTGGAGATAGAATCAGTAGAACTTACCGTTGAGATGTGGGATAGATAGTAAGGAAGAGGGAAAAATCAAGATCAACTCAGTTTCTAGCTTCAACAAACTGAGTGGCTGGTGGTACCATTCTCTGAAATAGTGGCAGCTGAGAAAAGAACAGTTATGATCCCTTAATGCTTGAGTCATCCAAGTTATCAGATGGATATAACTCTGGAACTCTCCGGAGAAATCTGAGCTATAAAGACCAGGAAATCCTAAGCATAAAGCTGTTTTTTAAAGCAAAGAATAGCTCACCTAGTAAGATAGCCTGGAATTGTGCTTTTCAATATGGTAGCCACTGGCTATATGTGGCAATATAAATTAATTAAATAAAATTAAAAATTCAGTTCCTCAGTCACAGTAGCCACATTTCCTTGTTAGCCACGTGTAGCTAATGGCTACTGCATTTGATAAGTGCATATACAGAACATTTCCATCCTCACAGAAATTTCTATGGGATGGTGTTGGTATAGAGAGAGAAGAAAGGGGAACCTGGTATGGAGCCATGAGGAATTCCCAGATGGATTTAGAG